CGAGTCCTCCATTTAGATTCATGATCTAATCAAGCGGGCCAAGAATTGTAAGGCTTAGTTGACCGGGGAGCAATTCAATCCTACTTGACAGCACAGCTCGCACCAACTCCGTCTCGTTTACAACTATTTCATAAATACTAGGCTAAGAAAATTAAATTACTCTCTACCATCGTTCTGTGCACCTCTTCTACATTTTTCAAACCAGTAGTCTGAACAGAATAGAAATATGCTTATTGTTACAAATTGTTTATTAGTACGAACATATTGCATCAAAGGGATTGCTTACTTATTTACGATAAGGAGCGAGTGCATGGGAGAGCATATGCACCACACAAAGCAGTTACTTGGCTGCCAAGGAAGCGAGGTGTGGCGCTTTCACGACGAAAGGTGCGCTGGTTGCTGAGCAGGACTTCGAAAGCACTCCGCCCAAAAGCGATCCGCCCACTAGTTTAGTTGGTGATTTGGACGAGCTGCGTTGCCAGCAGCGGCACAACTGGAGCAACTCGACTGGAGCATGGATTGGCATGGTGCCACCAAACGCGTTGCGGTAAACTCGTCCATACGTCCGCCGTCTTAGCCGCTGCCCGTCCTTGAGCGAAGATCAACGGCCAAACAAAGGGGTCCCCTTTTCGTGTTCCTTGACGATTTTTCTGCTTTTTACGCCGCTAGCGCACCATTGAGCACTTGCTCGTCCCCTTTGAACCCCTTCAGTAACTCTCGTAATCGCTGCCTTTGAAGGACAACTTTCCTCCAGAAGAAAATGCGGCCTGCTGAGGGACCACACGGTATCCACAGGAAAAAACCGAATGGGCTCCGATCGGCAATACTTCTCAGCGTTTAAACTTGTGCGTCAAAAATGTTACTAGAAGTCCTTTAAAAAAAACTCACTGGAAATGGGCGTTATCTATCACAACCACGCCTGGATAGAGTATGGTTAGCGACAGTAAGGAATTCTAGAAGAAAAGTGATTTTGGAAGGAAATAAGATTAACTCGATTCACAACCCACCGTTGACAATTCCTTCGTTTTCACTTCATAATACACGAAGTAAACCAGAGCAGGCACGTAAATAAAGTGGAATGGCAAAATGGCCGTAAGGCGCATAAACATTTTGTGGAACTCGTTTTGAATTCCCCTGGAAGAATGGAGCGCCACCCATTCTGGATTTAGGAAGTCTGCTCTAAAAAGGTGAAATTGAATTCTTGATCAGCATGCCAAAACAAGAAGTAAAAACCCATAACAACAAATGTTGAACCTCAGTAATTGAAATGGGGAAACTCACAAGACACCCATGATGTAGCTATGATAGGCAGTGAGAGGAGGATAATCGAGTCCCCAATACAACAAATCGTTATTGGTGCTATTCACGTACCTTTGAAAAAGCTATAATACCCACTAGTAACAATAAAAGGTTAGAGAAAAAATAATAGACGTCGAAGTTAATGTACACCTAGTAGGTGTCTGGCAAAGTATACGAACCATTCCACTTGCGGGCAGGTGAAGCGTAACTTCCATCCAATGTCTCTGAGCTTCGAAGTCGCCATACATAGGTGGGCTGCCTTTACCTGCACACAATATAGTTGAAGAGTTGAAGTCGAGAAGAACAGATCCTAATTTTTTTTGACAGTGTTTACGTCAATTTAATAGAAACCAAAAGAGAATGCAGAACATCCATCACTGTAACATACAAGGTTCTTAATAAAGCTCACACAGGGAAATATTAGATCGTAGTATGCGGGGACCAACAAGATAGATAGAAGTAAAAAAAACGGTTTCAAGTGAATAATTAGCAAGAGCGATGTCTTAGCGCACACGCATAGTCGGTCGTCCGACAGCAACGATCCAGGTTTGAGCCTATGGGGAGAAGAGGGTTCAGAAGCGAGTAGCCACTCACGCTGTGATCTCTCTCTGGTGTCAGAGTCCGCGAATTTTCGCGATTTTCGCGATTTTCGCGATTTTCGCGATTTTCGCGAAAACCTGCGATGGATCACAGGAGTTGGAAGTGCCCGATGAATACTGCGAGGTGTTGTTTAATCCTGCTGCGAATTCTGCTTGGCAGTAAAGATTGGAAGACGAATGTTTGTGGTTCTACTTGTTTCATGTTCAATGTCTATTAGTTCATTGAAATGCTCTTGAATCGTTCCTATTTTTTTTCAGGAATCAAACTAAACCAATTACAAAAATCGGCACTATTCAACTATTACGACCCCAAAAACTCAAAATTTTATTTTTCGTCGAAACTTCGCCTATAGGGGTAATTCGGTGCCCTGATCACGAAAATGAGGTTCATTTTTGGCGCTGGCGCCATTTGGCGCCAATTGGCGCCAATTTGGCGCCAAGGGGTGTTTTCACCAAATTCGCTGTAAACTTGCACATAGGGGTTATTTGGGGTCCTGATCACGAATATAACATTCATTTTTCCTTTTAGCGCCTGTGCGCGCCTGTTTTCCGCTCGTCTGCGCCCTCTCACTGATCACCTCGCGATCGGGACTAAGCCTTTGAGGAGGAGAGTGCTCCGAAGTGAATAACACGCCTTATGTTACCGCTTTACGCCCATCCTCAAGAGTGAGTAGCCGATTTTGATCGAATACTTCGTCAACCGCGGATTTTGCTGAGAAACTCTGCCTTACGGGTAATTGAGAACCCATAGAATCACGAATCATAATACCGATTTGAGCGAAAACGCCTTTGCCCGCGCTAACCGTGTCAAGGTACATGGCCCGGCCACAAGGCCTGCGCTATCACAACAGTTTTGCGCGCGGCGCTCGTAGCGCAGGCTACAGGTTCACTCGTAACAAACTGATGTGATAATCATATTCTACGGGTCAAAATACCTCTGAGGACAACTTTCCAGCGAATTTGGGGATCCGAGATGTTCTGGCGCCTTTTGGCGCCGGCGCTTCTGACGCGAGCGCCAGGCGTTCTAGCGGTAAACAAATGTGATATTCGTGTTCTACGGGTCGAATTACCCCCGAAGACAAGTTTCTGGCCAAATTCACAGTCAATGACCAATTTCGATAAAAATCCGGCTCAGTTCTCGAGGAGTGGGGCAGTAAAGGGTAAATAGTGCCAATAACACTTATCCTGTGATCTTATACGCTTTAACGTTTGCCACATGTTGACTGGTTCACCCACCCCGGAGTCCTCCCTCCTTCTAGGCTCAGTCCTAGGTATTATGTACAAGTGAGAGGACCCAGGAGAATGGAAAATGTGCGTTGAACGTGGAAATGCTAAAAACGAATGACATATCCGTAATCAGGACCCTAAATAACCCCTATGTGCAAGTTTACAGCGAATTTGGTGAAAACACCCTTGGCGCCAAATTGGCGCCAAATGGCGCCAGCGCCAAAAATGAACCTCATTTTCGTGATCAGGGCCTCAAATAACCCCTATAGGCGAAGTTTCGACGAAAAATAAATTTTGAGTTTTTGGGGTCGTAATAGTTGAATAGTGCCCAAAAATCAAGTGCCCCATTTAAACAACAATTGAAATTGAAATTGAAAACAATTGAAACACTGGATATGAAACAAGTGGAATCATGAGCAGTCTCCATTAAACCATAACCATCAAGCAGAAGTGACGGCGGGATTGGAGAACACCTTGCAGTATTGATGGGGCACTTGTGATTTCCGTGACCCGTCGCGCAAATCGCGAAAATCGCGCAAATCGCGAAAATCGCGCAAAGGATCGCGGACTCTGACATCAGCCTTACACCTCATCTGTTGCCATACGATGCACGTGATTTACCCATAGCGGAGTCCCCCTACCCTCCAGGAAAAGGGCGCATGCCATATTCGTTATGAGGACACCGATTAACCCATATGTACAAGTTTACACCAAATTAACCCATTCGCGACAATGGCAGCCACCGGTGGCTGACGCGAAGATGCTCACTTGGGACCATTTCATCCACCGGTTGCCCTCATGGAAAAAGTTTCAGCACCAATTGTTGATTTTTGCCACTTCACCTCACTTCAAGAAAGGGTCGCGAGGGACAATGATGGCCACCGGTAGCT